TCTTCATATGCCGAGGTCACAGAAACAAGTGAACTCTACTTCGCTTGCCCCATAGACCGTCAGGTTTGAAAGAGAAACTTAACTTTTAAAATTTAACCGATGGTCAAACAAAATGACCAGCAACGAAATATGGCAAATTACAAAACGACAGTCTATACACAGGGATAGTAAATCCCGCATATCCGGATGGGTCGGGCATGCCCTTGTGAGACAGGATGTCAACATTGCTAAGCAAGCGTTGGATTGGAACCCCTTGTGGAAAAAGCAGGTGGACCTAAGCAATGTTCAAGAAGAAAAATGGAAGAAGTATGGGCTGCAGTGCGTACTTACGCTCAAGATAGCTCTCCAAAACATAGTCAGGTGAAGTGGTATGGCTGTAGCCATTCGCTCCTTAACAGCATCTATATATGAGGTGGGATATGTCATCACACTGTAGAAAGTGACCTCTCTCACACCATCAAATTGTTTCTTAATTGATTTATTCATTACACAATAAAACATGGAGAAACTTCATACACTTTGTCTATACAATGTTTACAGTCAATGATATTTACAGTACACAAATCATATAATTAGACTTGAGTTACGAAAATTCTTGTGATTGAGCTATTTTACATTATTGACATAATATTGTTAAATAGAGTAATATAGAGTCCTTGCAAACACGTGACCTAAATCACGTGATACCTACGCCCGCCGCCACAGTGGTGTACATCAGACGTAAACACAATCAGCTGTTCGCCAGCGCTGGACGTGTTCACCAGCGCTGAACGTGTTCACCGTATGTAAAGAATCGCGCCCGCGGAAAAGGAAAAATATGTTAAAAAACTTGAACTCTTAGGAATTGAAGATCCTTATACAGTTATTGACAGTTTTGTGGATAATATAAATATGTGGCCGAAATTTCTAAATAAAAATACTGTTAGTAATACCGTTTGCGTTTAGAGTTTAAGTAGACGAAGCTGATCAAATGCAGTAATATATTATAGGTTATCTACTGTAGCAAACGTGAGACCACTTAACTCCTACAAAACCCACACTACAACGGCTAATATAATCCATGGGTAATAACCAATCTGGGTAGCATGTTATACAATTTAAGACCCTTATAATCCAGCAGGGAAGTAATCAGACACATTAATACTGACGTTCAACCCTCATGATGGCTGCCCCCACCTGTATCTAGCCCACAATAAAACCTAAGAGGAGTCTGCCCTGCCCTCCCCTGAAAATGTCTCACCTCCGTGATACCCAGCCCCACAGAGATAGTATTTCTTATATAATTTTGACCCTCAGGGCCCAGCAGGGAGAACAAAGGGGAAAGTCCCACTGCTCTCCCCTCAACACTTCTCACCTCGGTGTCATGTTATGTCATTTATAGCACACATGGCTTATCAGGGGAAAGCATTAAGGCATTAAGAATCTTAACTCTGGACAGCTACACACTAGTATACTAGCTACACACTAGGTGCCTACTGTAAACTACTAGACTGTAGGCCCTATGTAGACCTGCAATTGTATCAATTGTAGACTGGGTCCATTGTTATTATTCTAAACCATCTCACTTATAATGTTTCTAGCTTGATTTTTTTCTTTTATAAACAGTGGATTTTTTTAAAAAAATTAGCCTAATCATTAACCAAATAATAATAATGTGGTTATTTGTTGTTGGCTGGTATGATCTAGATTGTACTACTAGGCTACAAAAACTTAGTAGACCAATTACTAGATATGAATTTGAATTTAATTAAACTCAGTCCAGTATCAGATACATATTGCTGTAAAAAGACAACAAAGTAGGTAGGCCTTAGTAATTTATTAAAGCCTTCTACTACAATAATATCAACTACATGCTTGTATAAAGTTTTTACAATTTAATTTAAGTAGCAGATTCTAGATCTAAGTCTAGTCATACTAGAAATTCAGAAAATTTCGTTTGCTAAAAAAATGATTAGATAATAGAGCGAGATTTTAGATCTTAGAGACAATTAAATGCTTTATTAGGCCTATTATGACTACTTTTGATTTATTATGGGTGTATTTTGAATCGAATGTAGATCTAAAGTAATTAAATTTAAGTAAAGAAGTAGATTCTAGATTCTATGTCTACCCAGCGGAGCCAGGTATTAGGCCTACTATTAGATCGTATTATTCTTATTATTACTTTTGACTTTGTCTTTTACTATTTGTATTTGTGAAGGTCGAGCATATTTGTTTTATTAATAGTTATCTTTTATAATTAAAATGGAGTTTATTATTTTACTGTCCTTACCTGAAACAAAGTATCGAAAACTGCATTTGATCAGATTCGGCTACTTTAACTCTAAACGCAAACAGTATTACTAACAGTATTTTTATTTAGAAATTTCGGCCACATATTTATTTATACGAAACTGTCAATAACAGTATAAGGATCTTCAATTCCTAAGAGTTCAAGTTTTTAACGTATTTTTCCTTTTCCGCGGGTGCGGCTCTTTACATACAGTGAACGCGTCCAACGCTGGTGAACACGTCCAGCGCTGGCGAACAGCTGATTGTGTTTACGTCTGATGTACACCACTGTGGCGGCGGGCGTAGGTATCACGAACGGACGTGACGTCATATGAAAGGACTCTATAGCACAGGGTTCGGCAACCTTTTGAGGCGGAAGAGCCAAAAATTACAATTTACACAATTTTCCAGTTTTTAAAGAGCCACTAACATTATTTTTTTCCCAATATTTTGGTATTTGATAAGGATAGGTAAATAAATTTGATTTTGTATTTGGAATAAGTAGCGTCAAATATGAACTAATATTGATTCCTATAAAAACATCCAAATGTTTTGCACTAAAGCTAATTTAGCTAGCTCTGCTGTGACAAAATTAGTAATCAAAAAATATAACTATAATATAACTATACGACTATCCCAATCCACTTTAGGAGCCAATAACTTATTTTTCTGTCTTTACTGACACCACTGGCCCAGGTGGTGTCTCCCATTAGCTTGTCAGCGCTCAACACCAGTGTTTCTTCCAGACTTTTTTCTCCGGGGGTGCACTTGAAATTTTCGGGGGGGGGGGGGGGGGAGGGGGGTGACTGGACACTGTCAAAATTAAATATTTCCTACATAAATTCCATTTCGTTCGGGGGGGGGGGGGTAGATTTTCTTAGGGGGGGGGGGCGGTGCCCCCCCAGAAGAGATGCCTGGAAGAAACTCTGCTCAACACGGCAAACTCCGACTAACTGGCTTGGGTATCGGTTTGATTAATGTATATGTCGTTTCTGTCCTTCGGTTCTCAATGGGCTTAACTTCCACCCCACTCGTACCCCAAAGTCCAGTACCCGGCTTAAACATAGGAAGTTAATTACTAAAATACTACGTCACTCAGGTCAATTTAATGCATACTGACAGGTAGAGGAATGCATTTTGAATAAAATAACATTCCCCATTTAACGATATTCGAAAAAAGTTGGCACTTGGGCAGTGGCAATCAAGGAGTTGTTTGCAACGGGGATGGCTAAAGCACGATTGTGGGGCTGGGTCTGGTGTCCAAGCGGCTGTCAGCTGTCCATATACTTTCTACCTCACCTACTCTCATTGTTCGCTGATAAGTGTTTATCCTGTTTAAAGTTGTTTTTTATTACAGTATAATATTTTTATGAGTTTTGAAAATGAAATAATATAATTATTATTATTTGTGCATGTTACTAAAGAGCCGCATCTTGACACCAAAAGAGCCGCATGCGGCTCGCGAGCCGCAGGTTGCCGACCCCTGATATAAAAGTAAAGTTTCCCTTTCAAACATGACGGTCTATGGGGCAAGTGAAGTAGAGTTCACTTGTTTCTGTGACCTCGGCATATGAAGAGATAGTGTGGTCAGCACTATGCCCAGCCGCCTTTACTTTCCCTAACTTAAGTTAGGTACCCATCAGAGTTGGGTGGACTCAGGGACGGCCTACTGACTTGAACCCGGATTCGAACTCGAGACTTACGAGTTGGCAGTCCAGCTCTCTACCGCTAGACCACTCCGTCCCATATATATGATATAGCATCATGAAAACAAAAACTCAAACGACACTACAATAACAATAGTATTACATGCCAGCACGTTTATAGTTACAAGCATAATAAAATACTTAAAAAAAACTTTTTAAAAAACCACGTTTTTCTTGTGGACTAAAAAGTAGAAAATAACTATTTACATACATTTGATGACAAAAAACGTGGGTACGTTCACCATCAAATTTCCCGACCCATCTGCCCGACCCACGTTTTTTGTCATCAAATGTATGTAAATAGTTATTTTCTACTTTTTAGTCCACAAGAAAAACGTGGTTTTTTAAAAAGTTTTTTTTAAGTATTTTATTTTCTCCTTTTTAGTCCGTTGCTACACATGAAAAACGTGTTTTTTAAAAAAGTTTTTTATACAGTTTATTTTCTACTTTATCTAATGACTTGATTAAGTATGAATTGACTAAGTGTTTATAAATACACGGACTAAAAAAATCTTGAGCGACCAGGATTCGAACCTGGGTTGTCGCGGCCACAACGCGAAGTACTAACCACTATACGATCACGGCCAGCGCGCTCACATCGATTGGGGCCGAAGTAACTGTGTCAACAAGCCTCCAGTCTTGTCGGTATCTTTAGAAATCATGTCCTCAATTTTATGGTCCTTTGGGCGTAATTAAATTAAGCTAATTACGGTCTCTAATTGCTAGTTTTTATGATTGCATCTGAAATTGTTAGGCGAAAGTAACCTGCATGCCAAATTTCAGATCTATAGAGCAATCAGAAGTGGGCTAATTTTCGATGTCAATTTTAACAACAAACACACGCGAAGCTGAGTTAATAAAAACGTGTTAAAAATGACAGGCTGAAAAACAATTATCAGTAATGGCAATTACATGAGGTTTTTACCTAACATGACAAATTATCTCAAACAAAAATATCTCAAATTATCTTTTAATGCTATAATGAACAAATGATCTCACAGACAAATCATATTTTCATGAACAACATATCTTAAACAAAACACATTTCACGGCCAAATAACATTCCTTAAATCTTTAAGTCATATATTTACAACCATGTGTGATAGTACAAGTAATTAATTAAATTGTAGTGGACTCAAGTATGTTCGACTTAGGTAGATGAAAATGACATATATCTTGATACATCATTGTACTCATCATTTAATGTATTATACGTAGAATCTTGGCTTTTGTTTTCTGTATTTGTTCCGGCCATAAGATCGTCGATGTTGTTATAGATTGTTCGTTGTTCTGTAATTTCAAAACTCAACGTTACTTGCTCATATAACGTATAAATATAATCATGCGTATAGTAAATAGATCAAAGCTGTAGTTTCTTTCTAAAAATATGCAACACAGTTGGTATCATTTAAGTCAATTTGAAATAGTCATTATATAGAAACACTATGTTTGATCAATTACCTGGCTCTGTAATTGAATTAGCTGATAAATGTGTATGTTGTAATTCGACAGGCTGGTCATATACATCGTTTCTATTTTTACTTTCTTCACTTTTATCTCCTTTATATCTGCGGATAACACAAGCAACAGCCGTGACGATCAGAACGATGATACACATGCCGCCAATGCCAATACCCACACCGTGTCCTAATCCTTTAATGTATCCATTGTTGTATCCATTGACATTTTCTGAAAATTTGACGTAATGTAAATAAACCAAATTAACTTATATTATATATATATATATATATATATATATATATATATATATATATATATATATTTGTATGTGTGTGTTTAAAAACAAAATAAAATAATTATGTATTGCATTATTGCACTAAAAAACTATGAGAGTAGCTATACGGTTATATGCACTACAGGAATGATGTTGGTAATGGCTTATTCTTTATTTAAAAACAATATCTTAAAGAACATCGGGAGCCTGCTATACGCTGAAGATGTAGTTCATTGTGTGACGATTTTAAATATATATATATATATATATATATATATATATATATATATATATATATATATATATATATATATATATATATATATATATATATATATATATATATATATATATATATATATATATATATATATATATATATATATATATATATATATATATATATATATATATATATATATATATATATATATATATATATCATATTATATACTTACATTTCAGTTCAAAGTTTTATAACACATATATATATATAACAAAAAATATTATTTTAATCAATGAACTAAATCATTTAAGTTAGACTTTACAATAAGCCTCAGCATATTGTCTAAGTTATTAAATGTGTATGTTTACCTTTTTCACAAAATTTCCCAGAAGAATTATCTTTACATCTGAAACAGTGTCCATTAACAGCGTCACATTTTGAATCAAGACACAGTGAAGAGCATTTGTTTAAACAGCTGGGACCATAATGGCCTGCATCGCAGTCTAGTGGAAAAAGTTTTTTTTAGTCAGTCATGCTAGCAAGTGGGGCCACTACAAGCTGGCATGTGGGGCAGCTACAAGCTAGCGTGTGGGGCAGCTACAAGCTAGCATGTGGGGCCACTACAAGCTGGCATGTGGGGCAGCTACAAGCTAGCGTGTGGGGCCACTACAAGCTGGCATGTGGGGCAGCTACAAGCTAGCGTGTGGGGCAGCTACAAGCTAGCATGTGGGGCCACTACAAGCTGGCATGTGGGGCAGCTACAAGCTAGCGTGTGGGGCAGCTACAAGCTAGCATGTGGGGCAGCTACAAGCTAGCATGTGGGGCAGCTACAAGCTAGCGTGTGGGGCAGCTACAAGCTAGCATGTGGGACAGCTACAAGCTAGAGTGTGGGGCAACTACAAGCTAGCGTGTGGGGCAGCTACAAGCTAGCATGTGGGACAGCTACAAGCTAGAGTGTGGGGCAGCTACAAGCTAGCGTGTGGGGCAGCTACAGGCTAGCATGTGGGGCAGCTACAAGCTAGCGTGTGGGGCAGCTACAAGCTAGCGTGTGGGGCAGCTACAAGCTAGCATGTGGGGCAGCTACAAGCTAGCATGTGGGGCAGCTACAAGCTAGCGTGTGGGGCAGCTACAGGCTAGCATGTGGGGCAGCTACAAGCTAGAGTGTGGGGCAGCTACAAGCTAGCATGTGGGGCAGCTACAAGCTAGCATGTGGGGCCACTACAAGCTGGCATGTGGGGCAGCTACAAGCTAGCGTGTGGGGCAGCTACAAGCTAGCGTGTGGGGCAGCTACAAGCTAGCATGTGGGACAGCTACAAGCTAGCATGTAGGCAGCTACAAGCTAGCGTGTGGGGCAGCTACAAGCTAGCGTGTGGGGCAGCTAAAAGCTAGCATGTGGGGCCACTACAAGCTGGCATGTGGGGCAGCTACAAGCTAGAGTGTGGGGCAGCTACAAGCTAGCATGTGGGCAGCTACAAGCTAGCATGTGGGCAGCTACAAGCTAGCATGTGGGCGGCTACAAGCTAGCATGTGGGCAGCTACAAGCTAGCATGTGAGGCAGCTACAAGCTAGCATTTGGGGGTAGCTAAAGGCTAGCGTGTGTGGGGCAGCTACAAGCTAGAGTGTGGGGCAGCTACAAGCTAGAGTGTGGGGCAGCTACAAGCTAGAGTGTGGGGCAGCTACAAGCTAGAGTGTGGAGCAGCTACAAGCTAGATTGTGGGCAGCTACAAGCTAGATTGTGCGAACCTACAAGCTAGCATGTGGGGCAGCGACAAGCTAGAATGTGGGGCAGCTACAAGCTAACATGTTGGGCAGCTACACGCTAGCATGTTGGGCAGCTACAAGCTAGCATGTTGGGCATCTACACGCTAGCATGTGGGGCAGCTACAAGCTAGAGTGTGGGGCAGCTACAAGCTAGCATGTGGGCCAGCTACAAGCTAGAGTGTGGGGCAGCTACAAGCTAGCATGTGGGACAGCTACAAGCTAGAGTGTGGGGCAGCTACAAGCTAGCATGTGGGCAGCTACAAGCTAGCATGTGAGGCAGCTACAAGCATTCATGTGGGGCAGCTACAAGCTAGAGTGTAGGGCAGCTACAAGCTAGCATGTGGGCCAGCTACAAGCTAGAGTGTGGGGCAGCTACAAGCTTGCATGTGGGACAGCTACAAGCTAGCATGTGGGCAGCAACAAGCTAGAGTGTTGGGCAGCTACAAGCTAGAGTGTGGGGCAGCTACAAGCTAGCATGTGGACAGCTACAAGCTAGAGTGTGGGGCAGCTACAAGCTAGTGTGAGGCAGCTACAACCTAGAGTGTGGGGCAGCTACAAGCTGGAGTGTGGGGCAGCTACAAGCTAGAGTGTGGGGCAGCTACAAGCTAGAGTGTGGGGCAGCTACAAGCTAGTGTGAGGCAGCTACAAGCTAGAGTGTGGGGCAGCTACAAGCTAGCATGAGGCAGCTACAAGCTAGCATGTGGGCAGCTACAAGCTAGCATGTGGGCGGCTACAAGCTAGCATGTGGGCAGCTACAAGCTAGCATGTGAGGCAGCTACAAGCTAGCATTTGGGGGTAGCTAAAGGCTAGCGTGTGTGGGGCAGCTACAAGCTGGAGTGTGGGGTAGCTACAGGCTAGCGTGTGTGGGGCAGCTACAAGCTAGAGTGTGGGGCAGCTACAAGCTAGAGTGTGGGGCAGCTACAAGCTAGAGTGTGGGGCAGCTACAAGCTAGAATGTGGGCAGCTACAAGCTAGACTGTGGGAACCTACAAGCTAGCATGTGGGGCAGCGACAAGCTAGAATGTGGGGCAGCTACAAGCTAACATGTTGGGCAGCTACACGCTAGCATGTTGGGCAGCTACAAGCTAGCATGTTGGGCATCTACACGCTAGCATGTGGGCAGCTACAAGCTAGAGTGTGGGGCAGCTACAAGCTAGCATGTGGGCCAGCTACAAGCTAGAGTGTGGGGCAGCTACAAGCTAGCATGTGGTAGCATGTGGTGCAGCTACAAGCTAGCATGTGGGACAGCTACAAGCTAGAGTGTGGGGCAGCTACAAGCTAGCATGTGGGGCAGCTACAAGCTAGCATGTGGGCAGCAACAAGCTAGAGTGTTGGGCAGCTACAAGCTAGAGTGTGGGGCAGCTACAAGCTAGCATGTGGGACAGCTACAAGCTAGAGTGTTGGGCAGCTACAAGCTAGCATGTGGGCAGCTACAAGCTAGAGTGTTGGGCAGCTACAAGCTAGAGTGTGGGGCAGCTACAAGCTAGCATGTGGGACAGCTACAAGCTAGAGTGTAAGGCAGCTACAAGCTAGCGTGTGGGGCAGCTACAAGCTAGAGTGTGGGGCAGCTACAAGCTAGTGTGAGGCAGCTACAAGCTGGAGTGTGGGGCAGCTACAAGCTGGAGTGTGGGGCAGCTACAAGCTAGAGTGTGGGGCAGCTACAAGCTAGAGTGTGGGGCAGCTACAAGCTAGAGTGTGGGGCAGCTACAAGCTAGAGTGTGGGGCAGCTACAAGCTAGTGTGGGGCAGCTACAAGCTAGCATGTGGGCAGCTACAAGCTAGAGTGTGGGGCAGCTACAAGCTAGAGTGTGGGGCAGCTACAAGCTAGAGTGTGGGGCAGCTACAAGCTAGAGTGTGGGGCAGCTACAAGCTAGAGTGTGGGGCAGCTACAAGCTAGAGTGTGGGGCAGCTACAAGCTAGCATGTGTGGCAGCTAAAAGCTAGCATGTGGGGCAGCTATGAAATAAAACTTGGAGTCTAAAATTTGGTTATTGTAGTAAGCATGTTCACCTTATGGTTTGCTTTTTTTAACTATACAAGTGAATTTCTTATGTAAATATCCCATACCTGTATTACAAAATTCCCCTTGCTTTCCTTCGATGCAGTTGAGACAAGAACCGTTAAAGTTGTTACAAAATTGATCGGTGCAGTTGGTGCTACATTTACTTGCACAATGCACTCCATAATATGTTGCGTTACAATCTGTTGGATATTTGAACCGTTTTTAATGTTAATTCAGAATGCTTCATAGTATTAGTATATGTTACTGTCTTACTCTGCTATTATGCTGAGTTTTGATGTTGTAGCAATACTTGTGCGATAGACTACTTACCCGAAAGTCTAAAGTTGGGTTAAGCCTGTAAGACTTCCTTGAGTCCACCCAGCTCTTATAGGTACCTGACTCATGCTAGTGAAACAAACTATCGCTTTGTGTGCCGAGGTAATTCAAACATATGAACTCTATCTCATCTGCCCCACGTGTGTGGAGCGCGAACGAGAAATTATTTCATTCCGTAGCAGACATATATCTCTATACATTTTAATTTTCATCGTTTGAATTCAATAGTAAAATAATGTAATATTTAGTTGTACAATTCACTGTTCACCGAACATAATACTACATATAGACCTATACCACTTACTTTGTTCACAAAACGTCCCCTGTATTCCATCAACACAACTTTTACAAGCACCATTCACATTGTCACACAGACTATCTAGACAGTTGGAACTACATTTCTGTGAGCAGTTAGTTCCATAGTACGTCTCGTTACAGTCTGGTGTGGGAGTGGGGGGGGGGGAGGGGGCGAAGCAATACACACAATAAACACAACAAAATTGCACGATACTATATAAGAAACTTTACTGAATAACCTAAATATACCAATATAGTTGATGGTAAAGGAAGTATTTATAAATTGTTAAAAATTGATTCGTAAAAGGTCTTATTTAGTGGGTATAGGTTAAATGTGAGATAACTCTATCACACAATACACCTGGCTTTCAAGGTATACAGTTGTGACAAAAGCCATTGACGTTGTCTCAAATATTAAAAAACCAGTTAGTGTTGCATATATTTGTAGTTTTGTAAGTAATATGTAAGGATATATTCTGTTAAAAAATTGATTTCATTAAATAAATTTAGTAAAATAAGCTAAGCAAATCATATATTTATAAACTAATAATATCATTACTATTTTATCCATACTTACGCTGATTACAACAATGTCTTTGAAGTCCAACATTACATTGCTGGCAGTAACAAGTTACTGATTTATTACTTAAAGGAACACACTTTAAAATTTCTTCAATTTTACCGCTTACTTTGTTCACAAAACGTCCCCTGTCTGCCATCAACACAACTTTTACAAGCACCATTCACATTGTCACACAGACTGTCTAGACAGTTGGAACTACATCTCTGTGAGCAGTTAGTTCCATAGTACGTAGCGTTACATTCTGTATTTTTGTTTTATATGAAGCAAAAAAATATATGCTAAAGCAATGATGATTTAAAAAAAAAATTTAAACATAGTAATTGCATTATATATTCATGTACTTATAGAATAGTTTAAAGAAAAACCGCTTACTTTCTTCACAAAATGGCCCTTGCTTTCCATCAACACAACTTTTACAAGCACCATTCACATTGTCACACAGACTGTTAGTACAGTTGGGACTACATCTCTGCGTGCAGTTGGTTCCGAAGTACGTGGGGTTACAGTCTGGTGGTGAGAGGGGCGAAGCAATACAGACAATAAACACTATTAGCATAACTATATTACACGATACTGTATATAAACTGTTACAGGTTTATCGACATAAACCAATATAGTTGATGGTAAAGGAACGCTATTACATACGACGATTTCTTTAACTATTTATGATTTGTAAAAATTGATAAGTAAAAGGTCTTAGAGGGTGGGTATAGGTAAAATGTGACAAGCCTCTGTCACAAAATAAACCTTGTTTTTCAGGTATACAGCTATGACAAAAACCGTTGACGTTGTCACAAAGTTTATGTAAACAGTTGGTGCTACATTTTTACTTGCTCGTATATACGAAATGTAGCACCAACTGTTTACATTTGCGACAACGTCAACGGTTTTTGTTATAGCTGTCTTCCATCAACACAACTTTTACAAGCACCATTCACATTGTTACACAGACTGTCTAGACAGTTGGGACTACATCTATGTGAGCAGTTGGTTCCATAGTACGTCTCGTTACAGTCTGGTGTGGGAGTGGGGGGGGGGGGGAGGGGGCGAAGCAATACACACAATAAACACAACAAAATTGCACGATACTATATAAGAAACTTTACTGAATAACCTAAATATACCAATATAGTTGATGGTAAAGGAAGTTTTTATAAATTGTTAAAAATTGATTCGTAAAAGGTCTTATTTAGTGGGTATAGGTTAAATGTGAGATAACTCTATCACACAATACACCTGGCTTTCAAGGTATACAGTTGTGACAAAAGCCATTGACGTTGTCTCAAATATTAAAAAACCAGTTAGTGTTGCATATATTTGTAGTTTTGTAAGTAATATGTAAGGATATATTCTGTTAAAAAATTGATTTCATTAAATAAATTTAGTAAAATAAGCTAAGCAAATCATATATTTATAAACTAATAATATCATTACTATTTTATCCATACTTACGCTGATTACAACAATGTCTTTGAAGTCCAACATTACATTGCTGGCAGTAACAAGTTACTGATTTATTACTTAAAGGAACACACTTTAAAATTTCTTCAATTTTACCGCTTACTTTGTTCACAAAACGTCCCCTGTCTGCCATCAACACAACTTTTACAAGCACCATTCACATTGTCACACAGACTGTCTAGACAGTTGGAACTACATCTCTGTGAGCAGTTAGTTCCATAGTACGTAGCGTTACATTCTGTATTTTTGTTTTATATGAAGCAAAAAAATATATGCTAAAGCAATGATGATTTTAAAAAAAAATTTAAACATAGTAATTGCATTATATATTCATGTACTTATAGAATAGTTTAAAGAAAAACCGCTTACTTTCTTCACAAAATGGCCCTTGCTTTCCATCAACACAACTTTTACAAGCACCATTCACATTGTCACACAGACTGTTAGTACAGTTGGGACTACATCTCTGCGTGCAGTTGGTTCCGAAGTACGTGGGGTTACAGTCTGGTGGTGAGAGGGGCGAAGCAATACAGACAATAAACACTATTAGCATAACTATATTACACGATACTGTATATAAACTGTTACAGGTTTATCGACATAAACCAATATAGTTGATGGTAAAGGAACGCTATTACATACGACGATTTCTTTAACTATTTATGATTTGTAAAAATTGATAAGTAAAAGGTCTTAGAGGGTGGGTATAGGTAAAATGTGACAAGCCTCTGTCACAAAATAAACCTTGTTTTTCAGGTATACAGCTATGACAAAAACCGTTGACGTTGTCACAAAGTTTATGTAAACAGTTGGTGCTACATTTTTACTTGCTCGTATATACGAAATGTAGCACCAACTGTTTACATTTGCGACAACGTCAACGGTTTTTGTTATAGCTGTCTTCCATCAACACAACTTTTACAAGCACCATTCACATTGTTACACAGACTGTCTAGACAGTTGGGACTACATCTATGTGAGCAGTTGGTTCCATAGTCAGTGGCGTTACAGTCTGGTAGGGGGCGAAAAAATATACACACTAAACACAAGGAAATAACACGATACTATTGAACAAACTAGAGCTAAGGTGGGCGGGACCAGTGTTTCTTCCAGACTTTTTTCTCCGGGGGGACACTACAAATTTTCGGGGGGGGGGGGGGGCAGTAGACTTTCTTCGGGAGGGGGGGGCGGACACTGTTAAAAGTATATATTTTCAATATATATATTCCATAAATTTCATTTCTTTCGGGGGGAGGGGGTAGGGCGGTAGAATTTTTTCGGGGTGGCTTCGCCTGAAAGAAACTCTGGGCGGGACCTTACGAAGTTTTAAAAAAATCGGAGACTTGGACTATGTTATTAAAATAGGGGACAGCACTAAGGTGGTCCATGTAAATCGTATGATGCTGTACCATCACAGACAAAAACCAGACGACAGCAAGGGGCACCCCATGTTAGCGGCAGTGTCAGGAGTGGTGAAGGCAGGAGAAGAAAACCAAGTATCACTAACAGATGAGGAGGACTTGGAACAGGGTATCCCATTGGACACAATAAAAACTCCCGACATACTGGAGGAAACTAAGTTAAGTGATATCAAAATAGGAGACACCCTGACAAAAACACAGTGGACGGACCTAAACAAAATTATCCAAGAGTACACAGCTGTTATTAGCAACTTACCTGGAAAAACAAATTTGCTAGAACATAAAAAAAAAATTGACCAACACCAGAGCAATAAGAACGAAACCCTACTGCATACCATACGCCCGAAGAGAGCTTATGAAGTAAGAGATGGACGAAATGGAGAGACTGGGGATAATAGAGAGGTCCGACTCCGACTTCAGTGCACCTGTAGTACTAGTTAAGAATAAAGATGGGTAGACAAGGTTCTGTGAAGACTATAAGAGACTTAACACAGTCACAGTCTACGACGCGGAACCCATCCCAGATACAGATGAGCTGTTCGCTAAATTAAATAGAGCAAAATATTTTTCTAAACTCGACCTCACAAAAGGGTATTGGCAGATCCCCATGCAAAATGACAGCAAAAAACTCACCGCATTTGTCACACCCTGGGGCCTATTTCAGTTTAATTACCTGCCCTTTGGCCTATGCACGGCACCCGCCACATTCGCCAGATTAATGCGAGTCGTATTAAAAGACTTGGAAAATGTGGTGTCTTTTTTTGATGACATCTGTATCTACAGCGAGACATGGGAGGAACACCTTATGGCAATAAAGGCGGTGTTCAATAGATTGAAAGACGCGGGCCTGACAGTAAGACCTGCCAAATTAGAGCTAGGGTTTGAAAAAATTAATTTCCTAGGGCACATAGTGGGGAGGGGGCTGCTGTCACCAGAAAAAAACAAGGTAAACAAAATCTTAAACGTAGCAATACCCACCACAAAGAAAGAGGTAAGATCATTAGTGGGTCTTATAGGGTATTATGCTAAATTTATAACAGAATTCAGCGAGGCCAACGCGATACTGACAGATTTGTTAGCAAAGGGTAAACCTGAAAAGGTCGTGTGGTCGGATAAATGTAACCGTGCTTTAAGAATGGTCCAGAAACACTTGAAGTCAGAACCATTTCTTATTTTACCTAATATTAATGAGCAATTTATCCTCAGGACCGACGCCTCGTCACGAGGTATCGGGGCAGCCTTGATGCAAATGAGAAATGGGGTCCTAAGACCAGTAAAATACATCAGTAGAAAACTCCAACCGAGAGAGACTCGGTACTCTACTATAGAAAGAGAGTGAATAGCAATTGTCTGGCCCACAGGCAAACTAGCGTTGTATTTATACAACGCTAGCTTCGTACTGCAGACGGAAAGCGTGGCTAAAATACCTTAACAACTGTAGGTTCAATAATGCCAGACTGACACGCTGGTCCTTACTGCTACAGGAATATAAATTTACTATAGAACACATCACGGGGAGGGATAATCTTCTAGCTGATTTTTTGTCAAGAAATTTTAGATCGGGAGTCTGAGATGTAAATAGTAATTTAAACCATTGTAGCCAGAGAGCGCAAAGGGTAGACTCAAATTTTTGTGATATAGAATGGTTGAGATATGGGTAGGAGTCATAAACCAGTGTAGCCACAGAGCGCATTGGGTAGACTCAACAATTTTGGTTTGGAAAGTTTCTAGATTTGGTACGATGCAACTGGGTGTGTATGATTTTTTTTGTTTGTTACTTACACGAATGTAATGTGCTAGCTCGAAATTGAAGTAGTCTGTATGTTTGGTTAAATTCAATGATGTATTTTTTAAAAGAGGCTGATTAATGTATACGAGCCGACCCGCAGCGTATCATACGCCGCTATTTAGTTGTTTTATTTTCTACTTTTCAGTAATTCATAATTTGTGAATTCCACAGTACCAATGCTGCCACTGAAAATATTTGCTTTAAAACACTAACCCCCCCCCCCCCCTTTCCCCTTACCCCGACCCTACACCCCCCCCCCCCCCCCCGTTAAAGCAGCCTCCTCTTAGTTATTTCTTAGTTACCTCCTGTAAGTTTAAAATCGAACTAAATTCGTGCCCCTAATAGAAACCCGGCTCTACGGCTCTACGATTTGTAAACATTTAGCTTTGTAAACATTTAGAGTGACCACAGCTCACCAGACAATGTGGGGGTGGGTGGGGGTGGTAGTGATAGTGATAGAGAGAAAGAGAGGGGACTGCAAGGAGGCGCTTGCAGCTTGTTTTCTAACGGCTCCCAGAAGAGAATTATATATATATATATATAGATTCCATGTCGGTAACAGTTCTGTATATTTTCATTATGTATTCCATTGTATATACAATCTGTCATATACATTTTTTGGAATGTATATTTTTAACTTGTGTGCTAGTGTATGGGAATGATAGCCTTTGTGTTGTTGTTTTTTTAATTAGATATGATTTTTTAGTCAGTATTTGTAGTTATTACTACAAATACTTAGGTGGGGGGTAGTGTTACGGGGCAGCTGAGGTCAGGTTAGAATAGGGTAGAATAGTCTCGAACTTTGGGGAGAGTGCGTATGTGAGTTGAGTTCACCCTAGAATATTGTTACCCCGGTGTGTTTATGTAGTGTTATCCCAATGTCGAATGCGGTATAAAAGCGGGAGTGAATGATTGTCAGGGGTGAGTTGCTAGCGATTAGGACGAGGGCTACGCTTGAATGTATTTGAGACGGAATAAAAGTAACGAACGTAGTCACGAAGAGTTGTCATTTATCTGAAACCAACGCAGAACGTAACAATGTGCCGTTACAGAATTACCTAAATAGACCAATATAGTCGGTATTAAAGGAATACAATTGCATGCCACATCACGATTTCTTGAACTTTTTATGAGTTGTTATAATTGTTAGATAATGGGTCTTATACAGTGGGTATAGGTAAAATGTGACAAACCTATATCACAAAATACACCTTGTTTTCCAGGTAAACAGCTCGGACAATATCCGTTGACAACGTCGCAAGATCCATGTAAACAGTTCGTGCTACATTTTTTTTCACAGTTATGTCCGTAAGATATAGCGTCACAAACTGTTGATAAAGTTGAATTGATATTCACAGAAAGTTGTTTTAGTAAAAGTCACTAATGAAATGATCCAATCCTATTTTACCCATACTTACCGAAATTACAAAAATGCCCATAAAGTCCCACACTACATAGCTGACAGTAACCAGTTGTATTGTTACAGACGGCATTTGTGCAATTTTTAGAGCACTTTTTGTCGCAGTTAGTCCAGTAATAATGTTCACCACAAGTTTTAATATAAACAAAAAAAATGAAATAAAGCCGGCGTGATCTCCAATAAACTTTCTCAAATATTCCAAGATAACACAAATGTGGATGGCAACTTCAGCACAATCGGGAAATATATATATATATATATATATATATATATATATATATATATATATATATATATATATATATATATATATATATATATATATATATATATATATGCTTTTTTAAAAATATATGTTTAAATATTTGCGGCAATTTATAATAATCTAATAGCATAATACTTGTAAATACATATAATCAAGACCACTCAAGACAAATCCACGAAGAATATGAAACTAATAACAATATAAATATCGCTTATTTCTGTCGAGCCTGCTTGTCTTATGTACCAATCTAAGATTGTTATGAAGTTTACAGTTAACAACATCGACATTGAGGTGATATAATTCAAACACATTTGTCAGTAGCCGTTAATAATTGAAATTGAAAATTTGAGATCACATGCGTTAATAATGTACGAGCGACCATTTGTATAGGACAAAAGCACACAATGCACAATCTTTCCTACTACTCGCACCACAATGTGGCGTTTTCTTACTATCGTTTTGTTAACGAAAAACACAATTCTTTAGACCCTAATTGTATTATATCTAGATTTTTTTTTTAAATAAGTATTTTCGTGTGTACCCATTACCTTAATTTGTAAAACCATAATAACACGAAATAACCATCTTTATTATTATTATAATAAACTATATAGGAACACACCACATACGGAAAAAGTGCTTGTGGCTCCATTTTTAAATATTTTTAAAATGAGTACACATACGCTGTATGCACCCCTCCCCTTGATATCCAGCAGCACAACCAGACCGACATCCACCTGTAGCTACAAAACATGTCTCAGTTGGGTCGTTACAGTTGCAGGTCTTGGTACATTCTAGGCCGTAATTTCTTGTGTTGCACACGTTATCTGCAGAAATAAACGTTGCTTTCTGCCTATAAACGCATAAAAAGTATATCAATCTGTATAAAATGTATATTTACAAACAATGTCGCTATGAAGTTATTACTCACCTCCGTATATCTCGACCTCACATAGAGTTAGAATATCTCTTACAGATATATTTACGTATGACACCGGACCATGCGAGCTTGACGATATTGTGTAGATTGGTACATTGTCGTTAGAACTCGTATCCCTGTACTCAAAAAGTTTTGTCCCAGCGTTGTTGTAACTGTTCAGCACGAATCCTTTTAGTCGTTGACGCTCTGTGTCTGAAATTTAAATAAACAATGTGCAGGTTTAGAGTAAAAATTTAATTCAAGTGAAAACCTGTTTCTAAAATAGCTTACACTTTGTAAAATACTAATTTAAAAGAAAGTGTACCCTTTCGTTCATAAGCTCTTCTGTTTTAGCACATTATTTAGGTTGAAATTGTTATTCGCATACATACTCAATTATGTTTAGTAATTTAAACTGTTTATGTTGCAGATGAATTAAAATTTACTATTGGAATTTTCCCTGATAGCTATATGTTAACGACCTCCTATAATGTAGGTGTATAAGAAGTAGCATGTGATGCTTTGTTTCACCGAAAAAAAGGACTTGTCAAATGGATTAATGTGTTTAATATGTTAATTAATATATAGAGGGTATTTATCACTGCATATGTAGTTAAGCTTAAACACTATATGATGTTTATTGTGAAAGATCAAATATGTAATCAAAAATTTAATTATGAAATATTACTTTTGTTATAAAGCAGGTATCTGTTGACACTTTTTGTACTTGAAAATATAACTCTCCATGAGCCTGGCTGGTGTTCTGCTGTATGTGTACACGTGATGTGTGAAAAGTTCCCACTTGTGTTTCCATCCACAGCCATAAATGAGTAGCGCACTACACCAGCTTCAGTATAATCACTTGACTGGCTGGTGTTTTGTTTTAGAGCAACGTTTCTACCTGTAAAATAATTTAGTACAACACTTGATTAATTTTCTTACTTATCCAAATAAGATATTACTTTGTAACATAGACACATTTTTTTATCTTTCAGCATGTATTAAACACTTAAAACATCTAAAACATTTTAAAATAAAATAAACTACAGAGTAGCATTTAAGTTAATATTAGAATATCATATCGTATAGTATTTGCAGTATAAAACGAAAAGAAATTACAGATAATATTTTTAAGTTCGATGAACTAATGAAACTATTGTAAGCGTTTTGTTTTATTTAAGTGAAACAAACAACCAACAACATATGAGTTCAAAGCATCGTGCGTAGAATGAAAATGCAATGACTACAATAAAATCTACAATAAAAAATAACATTCTTCGATATAAATGTGAAATGCACGTTTTTCGTGTTATTTCTTTTAAAAATACTTTTTACAAAAACGATATTTTAACAATTAAGTTGTAAAACAAAATAAAATAACCAAACAAGTATTACCTCCACTAATGTAAACAGAACAAAGTGCTACCGTTGATCCGAAGTTTAGGCTTACATCTGTGGCAAGGATTTCTGTCTGACAGAGGATGTCAGTGACTCTGTCAGTAACTTTAATCAGATGTGTAGTTGGGATGATTGTTTTATTTAGAATCAGTTGCATGTTCTGTAATGAATCTGAAGGAGGGTGTTTTAGCGTTAGATTTTTGTAGCACAAACAAATCTGAACCATTTGCAAAAATTAGAAATACAATATCAAATAATTATGATCTCTTATGATCCAACTGTCTGAGTAGAGTGATCCAACTGTCGGGGTAGAGTGATCCAACTGTCTGGGTAGTGCAAACCCAAGAATCGGGTAGAAAACACGTGACTAATCCAAACGGTAAAGATATAAATATATTATAATGTCATGATGCTAATGTCAGAATGCACTGCGTAGCGCTTGACTTACTTGACTGTTGTGTGACTATTCTGAACCACGTAACCTGGTAATTTATTAGCCAAGTCAGGCTAAATGTTAAAACACTCGAACATGTGGCATCGTCTCCATCTGTTAGGGTGGCGTGTAATGTAGTTGCATTCAATCGTGCTAAATCCTCTGGAAACAGAACGTATCATGTAATTGGCCAATGTAGTATGTATTACCCATTTAAATATGATAGATTATTGTTTATAAAACAGTAAAATTCGCTGAAATGATGTAGGCATACTCACGATATTGACATAGAGGACCAAACCATCCCCTAACACATGTAGACCCTCCTGTACACTTTCCGTCAACATCACATTGGTTGTTGACACAGTGACATTTGTACTGACAGCTAGAGCCGAACCAGCCAGCGCTACATGATGCTAAACTAACTACAAATAGTCAGATCTCATGTTGCAGGGATATTATTTTTACTAATCATATTAAGTGCTATTGAAAAATATATTATAATAAATTTTGCAAATGAGTTGTTTTAAATTAGATGGGAAAAACGTATTTCTATAAATGCTTTATTGCATCAATCTACTAAAATAATTATATCAATGTTCAAGATTCACTTTAACATGTTTGGAATAATTTTCACTTTTTCTTACATTCTTAGGTCCGTCAAAAAATTAAGTCGCATACCTGTATCCACTGGTACTTCACTGATAATGAAGATGAAACAAAGCAATATCTGTAGTGTCATTAAGTAGATGTGTTGTAAACAAGACTGTATCTATATATTCTATTGTGAGGCGTAAGCGCACAGTAGCTTAAGTTACACATACGCTGTTCGAGTAACCTATCCCAGTTGTATTTATTGCCTCTCTGCAGTTAGTCCCTCAAGACAAAAATGATTGTTTACAAAAGCGACATAGCAGATAGCCACCAAATGAAATATGGTCTATCCCATTTTATCATAGCGTGGCCACTTTGACGGTAGATAACGTAGTAAATGTGGACTACAGTTCTTATTGTATGCTGGTTCTATATAGAGTAATATGACTCTCTTATCACTTGGGTATTTATGATATAAATCAGGAAGTGAAATTACGAGTTTGTGTGTTGTTAAGCATGTTATCTTGGTATATCTTATGTATCGAAACTAAAAACTTAAAATCATGACCTATAGTTAGACAAATATGACGGCGTAAATGACAAGTTTAATTTCAGCAAAGTAAAAGATTAAGCATACAGCATATGCCAATATACTCTCACCTATTTATAAAAAAATGATGAAACGACCACAACCGTATTAGTTATTTGATACAGTCAATTTCGAGTCAAAGCATGTATTTTAAAATATTATATTGTAAACAATTATTGAAGGTCCCTTTTTCGGACTTAATGATCCATGGGGTAGATGAAGTAAAGTTATTGACCTCAGCCGATGAAGTATGGTGTGAAGGTAGTAGATTATTTTAACCCTTTATCTACTGACGGTACTTATAAGTACCACTTTAATTAAGCGCCTGTATTATTTTTAATTTAAGAAGAATTTTAAAAATTATTGATGTAATTGATAGTATTATCTCCCTTGAGTCACAGGTAGGTGGAGGGAACGATGTTTTTTGAAAATTACTGGTGTGGCGCCATTTTCAATCTCTACCTGTATCGGTAGTTCACAATTGTTCTGTGCATATCTCACATGTGTTCCTGATTTCCCTTTGTTTTACCTTATTCTTCACATTTTCAACACCGAATATTTTTTATTGGCATCTTAAATAGTCAGGCAAATGCATATAACTTCTAGTTATACAATTTTTATCAAATTGTCTTTGTAATAGATCGATGTTTACAAGTGGACTTATAAGTACCGTCAGGGCACACGGACATTTTTTTAGGATTTCTTGGAAATTGCTGATTTTCGATGTGGAGTGTCATAAATATTATTTTGATAATTAATTATCGAAATGTACTTAAAAATATATATTTATGCATTTATAAGAAGGTTAGCATAGGGTTTTCTTCAGAAATATTGTAATTAATTGCAGATTTCTAGTAGTAAAAGAATAACAAGAATAGAGGTGGCAGTTGCAGGCTCGTTTACTAGGTTTAGTATACGTTATTTGTATACCAAAGTCTAGTTCTAGAAGTAAGATTTGTAAGTTATATTTGTTGCAAAAAAACTGTCTTGCATACAATAGCTGGCGTGTACGTAATGTATACATGTAGAGTAGTAATAGTCCATACATCTGCATGTAGCATAGATCGTTTTGTAATTTTGAATCAGTAAACACAAAACAGTAGGCCACTACGCTATTCAAAACACATTGAGCTCACTTCTATTTATGAACTTTACACTGTAGTGTAGACTTGTCATAACTTTCTAGTAGGCTACAATTATACTAGTATTACTAGTAGTAGTGTACTGAATGACTAGGATTTCGTTTTCAAAATATTTGTTTATGCGGCTCATTATAATGTCTATTGGAACCCTCAGGCAAAAGCAGGTTCAGTCCGGCAACTGTTGCCACACCAGAAAGACGACAGACAAGAATGTCTTAGGAATGAGGAATGAGGGAGCATGACATGTCGGCACCTTTAGCTCTGTTTGAGGTCTAAGATGTGTTCCGATAAAAAATCCAGTAAAAATCGTACTCAAAATATACTTTTGTGCTGTGTTTATGTGTGGAAATTACAAAAAATGATTGTTATAATGATTGCCATGTTATTATTTAATAAGTTGTATCGTTTTTTCCTGTTTTGTAATTTTTTTAATTTTTGGAAAAAATGTCCTACATTCCTGACGGTACTTATAAGTACCAATACATGTTTGGGCCCTTAAAAATTTATGAAAAAAAATTTCCTTTGACATATGCTTTAAATGTGCCAAACGCAATATGATAACACATTGTTTAAGAAAAAATTTCATTCAGAACATAATTCCGTAAATAAAGGGTTAAGGTATACTTTGAAACGCATTACAGTATTATGTATAATTGATAAGTACTTCAAATTACGTTGGACGTCTTACAGATAGATTCTTAAATAATAGACGCGTAAAACCATTCAACAAATGCTAATATAGTGTAACTTCCTATGTTCCAATACATAGTTTGAGCTTATGATAACAGGTTTGCAACGTCCGATTTTTTTAAGACTTCGTAAGGTCCTGCCTACCTTAGCTCTAGTTTGTTCAATAGTTGGGGCTTCAATATCAGCACATGATCCCCCACTTATATATCTTTGGTTGTGGCTAATCTATCATAGTAGCTCTTTGCTTTATCTTTCCCATCTTCTGATTTGCTGGTTGCGTACCTGCATGCCGTTTGCAACTGCTGTTTAAGGTCCAGCAGGTAGTCATATGCAGCTCTTGTCTTATATTCCCTCACTTCTCCTGTGAGGATATCGTTTAGGATGCTCATCGGGCCCCTCACTTTCCTGCCGAACATAAGTTCGAATGGCGGGTAACCAGTGCTTTCGTTTGGAACTTCTCTGTAGGCGAAAAGTGCTGCTGGGATGAACACGTCCCAATCGTCATCCTTGTCTATAGCGACTTTCTTTAGCATTTCCATTCCATCGTTCTACCGCCCCGTTGGCCATGGCGTGATATGCAGAAGCGTAAACGATTTTAATCCCCAACATTTTAGACACGGTGCAGAAAATTTCCGACGTGAACTGGGTCCCGTTATCTGAGAGTATGACTTCCGGGAATCCCATCCTTGTGAAGATGTAGAGTAGCGCATCTTGAATCTCTGCGGCCGTTACACTTTTCAGCGGTACGGCTTCTGGCCACCGTGTACATATGTCTAAGGCTGTGAGTATGAATCTGTTCTTTTTTTTCGTTTGAGTTAGTGATCCCAAAATATCTATGGCGAGTTTCTCAAACAGTTGTCCCACTACCTCAGTTCTACCCAGAGGCGCCTTGCCACCAACATTCTTTTTTTGCTTTTCTGGCAGACATCACAACTTTCGCAGTAACGTTTGAGATCCTCCCATGCCCCTGGCCAGCTAAATTGTGACAGAATTCTGGCTTTCGTTCTCGCTACACCCATGTGCTCCGCCATAGGTGTGTCGTGTCCTAGATTCATGATGGTGGGCCTAAGTCCCCTTGGGATTGCTAGTCTAATCTGATCTTCTGTTTTGCTATGTTTTATGATCTTATATAATAACCCATCTATTGTTTGACATTGCTTGCCCTTTTCCGCGAGCTTCCACAACCTAGCCAATTTTTTGTCTTCGCTCTGTTGCGTTTTAAAATCTTTCGGTGTCGTTATTTGGTCTAGAATCTTATGCCCCGGCTCATTTCTCTGGTTGCCCCCTGCTCTAAGTTGTCCTCTGGTTTTTACCGCCGCTAATGTTAGCGAATCTTCCCTCGGTAGTTTCGCAGCTGCTACATTCCCTATTATACGTTTAGCTGGTGGATCATCTAAAAGGACGGCAAAGAACTCTCCCGTAAGGTATGGTGTTTCTATGTTGACTACAGCTCCTGGTACTCTTTTCTTATCTCCATCCGCAGTCTTTATGGTTATCCATTCTTTTGTCCATCTATTTCTTGAGACTAGAGCTTTTCTACAAGCTACGACTACAGAGCACGTATCCCGTAGGACGTTCACCGTCCTCCCATCCAGTTTTCCTGCAACTATAGGAAGTGACCCTCTGTCGCTTATGAAACTCTGATTAGCTCCTATGTTCCCTACAGGGACAGCGCCCTTTACTTGACTTAGGCATGGTCCACAGTCGCCGCACTCCCCGCTAAACTCTGGGACTAGTCATATATCTTGAGTGTCCCTGAAGCCTACCCTTCTCCCTCTGTACTCATGTCCAATTTGTATACGATTGGACCGGCACCCCGCCGCTATGTGCCCCTCAGCCCCACAGTTAAAGCATTTGATTGGGCGTCTTCTAGGACTATTATTACTACTCGGCCTAGGTTGAACCGGGCTTTGTCTTCTTCGCTCCTGTTGAAGGGTGACTTCATTTCTTGTGCACCATACCTCTCTAATGGGGCTCTTAGCTCTAGGTCTTAGGGTTCGCTTGTCCCTGTCCTCTCTAAAGGGATTCCTAGAGCCTGATGTAAGTGCCATTGTGGCAACAAATGTGTCCTCTGCCACGTCGATCGGTTTTAATTTTCTGTCTGGGTAGATGTCAAAGTAGTTGTCACAAGCATTTTCTACGTCTGTTATTGTCCTCGGGTTTTGCCCGAGGACGTGCTGTCTTACGTCTTGTCCGACTGTTCTCACTATTTTGTCTTTTAAGAGTAGGTCAAACAGTCCGTCAAATGTTTTGTCACACTTGCTAGCTTCGACCCATCTTCTCAAGTAGTGTCGCACCCTCCTAATGTAACTCCCTGCTCTATCATGTTCTGATTGTTGGGCGCTATTAAACTTCTCACTGTATCCTTGCCCCGTCAGACCAAAGTGTTTTAGGACCTCCCTTTTCAGGGTGCGCGGACCTTTGACCACATGTGCTTTGACCATAGGGGGTTTGACCATAGGGGGTTTGACCACAGCGGAGCTTTGACCATAGGGGCTTTGACCATAGGGGGTTTGACCACAGCGGGCCTTTGACCATAGCGGTGCTTTGACCACAGGATGTTTGATCATAGGGGGTTTGACCATAGGTGTTTTCTCAGCAGAGGGTCTTTGATCACAGGTGGTCTATCAACGGGTCTTTGATCACAAGCGCTGTGTCCGGCTTTGATCATAAGTGCTTTGTCCACATAGGGTCTTTGATCTCAGGTGTTTTGTCCGGTGCTGTCCATATATTGGGGGATTTATTTTAAAAGTTGCTAAATTATATTTTAAATTTCGACATGATGTAATAATATGGTCAAACAGATGTACTGACATATTTGCGTACTATAGCACATCTGTCATTTAGTTAACCATTTTATGTATTACATCTTTGACTATATTGTTGGCAAGTTTTGTATCATTTTTTATCCTTTATATATGCTATGTATTTTCAAGTACTTCTACAATATTTATTTGTGAAACTTGTTATATGTCGCATTATTTGTGTTTCATTTATATTTAAAATAAATCTATGAGGTCTAGCACCAGCCTTTATGTGGAGACTAAAATATAGTTCTTGGCTTTTTTAAATACATGTTAATTTCTATTAACGTACTCTCAGGAAACAAGTATAAAATCGTGTTAAATGTATCACACCTATGATCAAAGCCGAACACAGCGCTTGTGATCAAACACCCGTTGATAGACCACCTGTGATCAAAGACCCTCTGCTAAGAAAACACCTGTGGTCAAACCCCCTATGGTCAAACCCCCTATGATCAAACCCCCTATGGTCAAAGCACCGCTATGGTCAAAGGCCCGCTGTGGTCAAACCCCCTATGGTCAAACCCCCTATGGTCAAAGCTTCGCTGTGGTCAAACCCCCTATGGTCAAAGCCCCTATGGTCAAAGCACCTGTGGTCAAAGGTCCTAGGACCCTTTTCAGCTTCCCATAATTCTCTTCGGCTCCCAATTCTGATAACCACGATTCCCAGCCTATATCTAGCAGAACTTTTCTAAACTCGTGGCACCAAAACGTATCTTCTAAACCTATTTCTCGGGCTTCCCTTTCAAAAATGTCAACCACCACCTCCATATCTGTTTGGTCCCTACTGTTTCTCATTCCTGTCAGCTAAATTCTTGGGGGTCTGTGCCCTACCCCTGCTCTTTATGTCTTTCTTCCTTGCTATTTCCAGCTCCTTCAATTTTAGTCTTTCTTCTGATTCGATTTTAGACCTAGTTAGCACCCTGTCTGCAGCCCTCTCGTCCCTTTCAGCCTGCTGCCTAGCCTTAGCCTCCGCCTCTAACAATTTATACTCGGCCCATTCAAACAACTCCCTTCCCTCTAGTTTACATCTTTCCCCTAACGCAGGGGTCGGCAACCTGCGGCTCGCGAGCCGCATGCGGCTCTTTTGATGTCAAGTTGCGGCTCTTCAGCTTTATGCTCAAATATTTACAATTATTTTATTTTATTTTTAAAACTCATAAAAAAATTGTTCTGCAACACTGGGTAATGAACGATAAAATAATAAACATAAACAATAAGCACTCGCTATTCTATTAGAATATTTAGTTACGCCATATTTTAATGTACTTCCTGTTCAACTTCATGGTGGAGATCATAAAGAAACTGAACGAGCTAAATGTAAAACTAAAAGGAAAAAACCCAGCCTATGCCTTGATTGAAGAAGTGGTTTGTTTCGAAAAAAAAATACTTTTTTTTTTGTTAAAGACATGGAGAGCGGTAAATTACTTAATTACAAAAAATCTGAAGAAAAAAAATATCGTGATGAAACCAATGCTACTATTAACATGAATCACTTTAGTATTACTATAAACAAAATGAAGGGTGTTTTCACTGAGAGATTTGAGCAATTCTAAAACAAATTCAAGCACTCTGACGTTTATAGTAGACCCTTTCAACACAGAAACAAATGAGATTATTTCATACATTTAAAGCTATTTATTTAAAATTGTATATATATATATATATATATATATATATATATATATATATATATATATATATATATATATATATATATATATATATATATAATCTTTAACACAGATCATACTATTGACATAAAAATGTTTGTGGCTCTTTAAAAACTGGGTAATTTTGAAAATTGTAACTTTTGGCTCTTCCGTCTCAAAAGGTTGCCGACCCCTGCCCTAACGCTGTAAAATGCTCTAGTGTTAAGCCTTCGCTAGCCATCTCACCATATCCACTTAGGATTGGATGCCAAAATTGTAATACCCAATACAATGTTAGGCAAAGGGTAATCCCGGTTGCGGGTACCGTGCCAAAGACTAACGCAAAAACACTTACCTCAATAAGTACAAATCTGTTGTAGTAGTCCCTTCCCCTACTTTAGCCCTTCGAAAACAATGGTAAATCCTGTAATGGCCGAAAAAAAAGTCCTGTGATCGCAAGGTTCTGTGCTGGTAACGTCCTGATGGCGAATTTCTGTTCCGGTAAAGTCCCAGGATGGTATAGTCCAGTGATGGTGACTTTCTGTTCTGGTAAAGTCCCAGGATGGTATAGTCCAGTGATGGTGACTTTCTGTTCTGGTAAAGTCCCAGGATGGTGGTGAAGAACAATAGGTAGTTGTTGGTGGTGTATAACTATGGCCTGTTTGTGCCCTCACACAGTAGGTTGGTGGTGCCCTCACACAAATGGGTTGGTAGTGCCCTCACACAGTAGGTTGGTGATGCCCTCACACAGTAGGTTGGTGGTGCCCTCACACAAATGGGTTGGTAGTGCCCTCACACAGTAGGTTGGTTGTGCCCTCACACAAATGGGTTGGTAGTGCCCTCACACAGTAGGTTGGTGGTGCCCTCACACAAATGGGTTGGTAGTGCCCTCACACAGCAGGTTGGTGGTGCCCACACACAGTAGGTTGCTGGTGCCCTCACAGTAGGTTGGTGGTGCCCTCACACAGTAGGTTGGTGGTGCCCACACAGTAGGTTGGTGGTGCCCTCACACAGTAGGTTTGTGGTACCCTCACACACAGTAGGTTGGTGGTGCCCTCACGCAGTAGGTTGGTGGTGCCCTCACACAGTAGGTTGGTGGTGCCCTCACACACAGTAGGTTGGTGGTGCCCTCACGCAGTAGGTTGGTAGTGCCCTCACGCAGTAGGTTGGTGGTGCCCTCACACAAATGGGTTGGTAGTGCCCTCACACAGCAGGTTGGTGGTGCCCACACACAGTAGGTTGGTGGTGCCCTCACAGTAGGTTGGTGGTGCCCTCAAACAGTAGGTTGGTGGTGCCCTCAAACAGTAGGTTGGTGGTGCCCTCACAGTAGGATGGTGGTGCCCTCACAGTAGGTTGGTGGTGCCCTCACAGTAGGCTGGTGGTGCCCTCACAGTAGAGAAGGTTGGTAGTGCCCTAACACAAATGGGTTGGTGGTGCCCTCACACAGCAGGTTGGTGGTGCCCACACACAGTAGGTTTGTGGTACCCTCCCACAGTATAGTAGGTTGGTGGTGCCCTCAAACAGTAGGTTGGTGGTGCCCTCACAGTAGGTTGGTGGTGCCCTCACAGTAGGTTGGTGGTGCCCACACAGTAGGTTGGTGGTGCCCTCACAGTAGGTTGGTGGTGCCCTCACAGTAGGTTGGTGGTGCCCATTCACAGTAGGTTGGTGGTGCCCTCACACAGTAGAGTAGGTTGGTGGTGCCTAGTGATTGCGCTATCTTTACTTGTTTAATACTGGCCACCAGTTGTTACGTTCCGGGTTAGTCTCGGACAAAACAACTCTTTGTGATTATGTTCACTACTTTTATTCCGTCAAAAAAAATATATATTCAAAAGTAGCCCTCGTCCTAATCGCTAGCAACTAACCCCTGACAATCATTCACTCCAGCTTTTATACCGCATTCGAATTTGGGATAACAATACACAAACACAGCGGGGTTAACAATATTCTAGGGTAAACTCAACTCACGCACTCTCCCCTAATTCTAGATCATTCTATCCTATTCTAATCTAACCTACAACTGACCCGTAACACTGGGTCTACATAGTGTATGATTTCTCTCTTATCACTTGGGTATTTATAATATAAATCAGGAAGTGAAATTACGAGTTGGTGTGTTGGTAAGCATATTCTATTGGTACTTGTTATGTATTGAAAGCAAACACTTAACATCATGACCTATAGTCTGATAAATGACACGGCGTAAATGACAAGTTTAGTTTCAGCAAAGTAGAAGATTAAATAAACGTGCAAGGTTGTTTCTTAATTGATTTATTCATTACACAATAAAATATGCAGAAAATTTATAAACGTTTTCTTTATAATGTTTACAGACAATGCTATTTACAGTACACAAGATATTTTCACAAACATAAAATCATATTATCAGACTTGAGTTCAAGAAGATTCTTGTGATTGAGCTATTTTACATTATTGATATATTGATATTTGTTGTCAAATAATATTGTTAAATAGAGTAATATAGCATCATGAAAACGAAAGCTCAAACGACGCTACAATAACTATAGATGTACATGCCAGCACGTTTGTAGTTACAAGCATACAATTACAGGCTGGAAAACAATTATCAACAATGGCAATTATTTGAGGTTTTTACCTAACATGACAATTTATCTCAGAACAAATGTCTCAAAATATCATCTAATGTTATCAAGAACAAATGATCTCAAGGACAAATCATATTATCATGAACAACGAATCTTAAACAAAACACATTTCACGGCAAAATAAACTTTCCTTAAATCTTTAAGTAATATATTTACAACCATGTGTGGTAGTAGAAGTAATTAACTAAATTGTAGTGGACCCAAGTATGTTCGACTTATGTAGATGAAAATGACATATATCTTGATACATCATTGTACTCATCATTTAATGTATTATACGTAGAATCTTTGCTGTTGTTTTCTTTATTAGTTCCATCCTTTGGATCATCGGTATTGTTATACATTGTTCGTTTTTCTGAAAGTTCAAAATACTATATTACGTACTCTTTTAATTAATGTTTAATTATATGTACTTCGTTAAAAACATATTTATATAGTAAATAGAAATATCTGTAGTTTACTTCGTAAAAATATGCAACAAAGCTGATATTCTTTAAAATAGTCATTATACACAAAAACAAACTTTTAATCAATTACCTGGTTCTGTAATTGAACTAGCTGATGAATTTGTATGTTGTAATTCGACAGGCTGGTCATATATGTCGTTTCTTTTTTTACTTTCTTCACTTTTATTTCCTTTGTATCTGCGGATAACACAAGCAACAGCCATAACGATCAGAACAATGATACACATGACGCCAATGCCGATACCCACACCGTGTCCTAATCCTTTGTTGTATCCATCGTTATATCCATCGTTGTATCCATTGACATTTTCTGAAAATTTGAAAAAAGATGTAAATACATTTAAATAAACCAAATTAACTTATTTATTATAATATGTGTATTTTTGTATTTGTGTGTTAATAAAAAGAAAAAGCAAATAAATATGTGTTGCATTATTGCACTACAACAACACAACAATAATTGTGAGAGTAGCTACAAGGTTATGTGCACTACTATGATACTGTTGGTAATGGCTTATTCATTATTAAAACAAAATATATATTTTAAAGAACACCGTGTGTCTGCTATACGTTGAAGATGTAGTTCATTTTGTGATATTTGGAGACCTGTTTATATCATATTTATATACAGAGACTATATTTCAAAGGTTTTAAAACAAAGGGGTCATCCATAAATGACGATTTTTGGACGATTTTTACCTCCCCCTTCCCTCCGTCACACGTCGTCATAGAAAGCCAGACCCCCCCTAAAATGACGTTAAACCTCAGCCTACAATCCCCCCCCCCCAAAAAAAAATAATTGCTGTTGAATTTTTCTTAAAACATCGATATTTTTTCTAAAATCTTGTCAGAATTCTGTAAACATAGAGTATTTTGATCAATTCCTATTACTATTTATTAAAATCGTTTTCTAAATCGCGAAATAACCACTAAAACTCATTTTCTAACAATGCTTTTTTATAATGACCCCCCACCCTCCCCCTCATCACACACCGTCACAAAATTACGGACCCTCGCCCCCCTAAGAGTGTGACGTCATTTATGGACGACCCCAAACATAAAATGAAATATGCTTTAATCAATTAACTAAATCTTTTACTTTAGGCTTTACAATAAACCGCAACTTATCGTCTTACATGTTAAATATGCATATTTACCTTTTTCACAAAATTTCCCAGTAGCATTATCTTCACATCTGAAACAGTGTCCACTAACAGCGTCACATTTTGAATCAAGACACAGTGAAGAGCATTTGTTTAAACATCTGTGACCATAATGGCCTGCATCGCAGTCTAGTGGAAACATTTTTTTTTAGTCAGTCATGCTAGCATGTGAGGCAGCTACAAGCTAGCATATTGGGGTAGCTACAAGCTAGCATGTGGGGCAGCTATAAGCTAGCACGTGGGGTAGCTATAAGCTAGCATGTGGGGCAGCTATAAGCTAGCATGTGGGGCAGCTATAAGCTAGCGTGTGGGGCAGCTACAAGCTAGCGTGTGGGGCAGCACACATTTAATAGTGCAACATTTTAATAGTGTATTGGATGATATTTAGTTATCCGATTTTTTTAAATTGACTGTCATATGGTTTTGTTTATTACGTTTAATATTGTTTATAGGCCTATATAATAATTGTAAGAAATGTTTGCCGAATAAATTTGTCATATTGCTGTAAACATTTTAAAGTTAGTATCAGTAATATAGTATACGAAGATTTAATAATTTTTTTCGAAAGACAGCGCAGGTAGGCTTGCCAAACATGAGACAATCCTACCATGTCAGGTGGACGAAACTAGATCAAAGAGGATGCAATAACAATAAAGACACAGCTTCGTGTCAAAGTGGCCACCCACCGTGTTGGCAGAGACATGCCTTTAGGGAAGGACATCCGCCCTCCATAAACAATACAACTAACATCTAAAGTCAATAGTTATGCGTCGGTCACACCTTAGTGATCAGGTGACAAATGCGTATTTAAAGGACAGCGGTCATCGCAGGGAGAAGTTTGCCGTGGTGTGCATGCAAACAAATCAGTATAGGAGGTGCTTACTCAGCTATCGCCTCATTCGTTACCTAGCAGAAAGGTTGTAGGACATTAGTTTCTGGTGAAGTTATGTTTATAAAAGCCAGAAGTGGAGCAGCAGGCAAAGAGATTTAGAAATGTGAAGTTATAACATGTCGAGCAAGAGTTCACACAATACATGATCACATTGTGTTGGAGAGGTGTGATAATGACGATGTACCTGCCAGCAAAGAAACGTAAACATTTTGTTTGTGTTGATGATGCAATAAAAACAATAGCTTTTCATTACGAGCCTGAAGACATATTCACAATTTTGAAAAAAAAAATCATAAAAAACGTTTTAATAACCAAGCTTGTATGTACTAATGCACTAAAAAGTAGATAATAAATTATACACTACTATTTAAATAACTATAAAGAAAAGCGTGGGTCACTTTAGTACCTATTTGATACCTTTACTAATTTTTAGGAAGAGACCCACGCTTTTCTTTATAGTTATTTAAATAGTAGTCTATAATTTATTTTCTACTTTTTAGTGCATCTATATATATAAAGCAAAGTGGCCAGGTGCCCGATAGGGTACTTCCCGGCGCCGCAGGCGCGTCAAATTTAGCACGATGGTGCCTTGGGGCGATATAACACGAGGGCCGGTGACGGTTGGCCGAAAAGTCTACGGATAGGGGATCAAAACTGACCTCGACTGACCGGCGCCTTATATGGGCTATATTACGAAAAAAAATTTCCTCCAACTACCCCCTTGAAATTTTGTGAGGTGGTAGGAGAACGCCGTGGGATGTCGCAAAAAATTCGCCATGTCCGGGAAAATTTGTTAAATGGGTCAAAACTGACCAGTCGTATTTCCCTATATAATCTTTGTATTTCATGGGAAAAACAGAGGGTGATTTCAAAACGGATTTTAGGGCACCTACCGTCTTTACATCTGGCTAATTTTTTGCATGCTCTTAGGTAAATAGCTTGTCCTTTAGGGAAAACTGTCGGTTTCACTCAAAGCCCTCGACGAGGGCTAAAAAGTGACCGCGAGTGAAATTCTCTTTATATGAGCTCTATTACGAAAACATTTTTCCTCTGACGACCCCCTTGAAATTTTGTGAGATGGTAGGAGAACGCCTTGGGGTGTCACAAAAAACTCGCCATGTCCGGGAAAATTCGGGAAATCGGTCAAAACTTACCAGTCGTATTTCCCTATACTATCTTTGTATTTTATGGAAAAAACAGAGGGTACTTTGAAAACGGATTTTATGACACTTACCCTCTTTAAATCTGGCTAATTTTTTGTATAGGCCTACACCTCTAAAGATGACTACGCCGTATGGAAAAACTGTTGGTCAGACTTATAGCCCTCTAAGAGGGCTAAAAATGACCGCGAGTGAAATTCTCATTATAAAAGATTTGGTCATTTGGTCTATGAACAGGGGAGGTAACTTTTTAATGTAATAATTTTTAAATATTTTGTATACTCTTTTTAAGAAAAAAACAAAAATAAAAAAGTATAGCATTGTTTTAAATAAATATTTTGTTACAAATTAAGTTTTGCATTGTACTGAAATTGTAAAAATTAATTGCGAAAGTAATTTATTATAATATTCGATTGATACTATTAAGATATCCCTTGCAGTTCTAATAACCGTGCAAGTAATAAGTTTGCGAATATTCCATCAATATCTGCGTGACATGAAATTACTACACTGTATACATTTAGGCCCTAAGCATTTAACATAGCAGCCAATCACCTATTAATTAATCATTCAATTCCTCAATTTTTTAAAAAAAACCTAAGCGAAGCTAGGCAGTATGCCTAGTTAGTACATAAAAGCTTGGTTATTAAAACGTTTTTTATAAAATTTTGTTTAGTGGGAGCCTCCAATAGAGTTTCATGACTAAAACCATTGCGCGCCTATTGAACAAGATGACGTGCTATTGAACGTGATGACGCGTGTGGTGTGGTTGGATAGAAGTGCCTACTAATTTGGTCAAAATTTTAATTAATTTATAAAAAATGAATTAGGCGGCATCCAATTAGGTCAAATTTAATTTCAAATTGCATTGTCTTTATGTCTTGACCCACATAGCAATTACGAACCGTATCTGTCAGTTAGAAGTGTCCGAATTTTCGCTCCGGCGTTTCGATCTAGACTGACGACAGACAGACAGAGGAAGTGAGTTAAATAAAAGCTTGTAAAAAAAATCTTAAAAAAAAATTCATAAAAAACGTTTTAATAACAAGCTTTTATGTAATGATGCACCAAAAAGTAGAAAATAAATTATACACTACTATTTAAATTACTATAAAGAAAAGCGTGGGTCTCTTCTCAAATATTAGTAAAAGTATCCAATAGGTACTAAAGTACTAAAGTGACCCACGCTTTTCTTTATAGTAATTTAAATAGTAGTGTATAATTTATTTTCTACTTTTTAGTGCATCATTACATAAAAGCTTGTTATTAAAACGTTTTATATGAATTTTTTTTCAGTACTTTACATGTTTTATTTACAATAGTGTTACATGACTAAAAACCATTGCGCGCCTACTGAACGTGATGGCGCAGCTATTAAACCTGATGGCGCAGCTATTGAAAGGGATGACGCGTATGGTGTGGTTGGATTGACATGCCTACTAATTCGGTCCAAATTTTAATTAATTCATAAAAAATTAGTTAGGCATCCAATTAAGTCAAATTTAGTTTCAGATTGCATTGTCTTCATGTCTTGACCCACGTGCCAACTGTGAATCGTATCGGTCAAGTAGAACTGTCCGAATTTTCACTCCTACGTTTCGATCTAGACTGACGACAGACTGTCGACTGACGACAGAGGAACTGAGTTAAATAAAAGCTTGTAAAAACGTTTTAATAACATGCTTTTATGTAATAATGCACTAAAAAGTAGAAAATAAATTATACACTACTATTTAAATAACTATAAAGAAAAGCGTGGTTCACTTTAGTATCTATTGGATACCTTTACTAATGTTAAGGAAGACACCCGCGCTTTTCTTTATAGTTATTTAAATAGTAGTGTATAATTTATTTTCTACTTTTTAGTGCATTATTACATAAAAGCTTGTTATTAAAACGTTTTTTATGAATTTTTTTTTAGTAGGGGCCTTCATGACTAAAAACCATTGCCATGTGTTAACCGAATCGGTCAAGTACAAGTGTCCGAATTTTCACTCCGGCGTTTCGATCTAGACTGATGACAGACTGACGAGGAAGTGAGTTAAATAAAAGCTTGTAAAAATATTTCGCGTGTTTTCAACATTAATGTTGTATAGATACCGTTACCTTAATTGTTTTATACATTGTCATTTATTAGACCTTTCAGGCTAAAGTAGTAACTTTGTAATAATTTTTACTTTTTCAAATCAAATGCTACTACAGAGTTTAATAAATCTTTTGATGGTTTGTTAAGTTTAACAAATTCATTTTATTTACAATTATTATGCGTAAAAAAGTAAACCAAAACTATATTGAAAGTTAATTTAAAAAAAAGTTCAAATAAACTAATATCATCGAACATACTTTTAAAATTTTACTGTGAGATATTTTGTCTGAGATATTTTGTCTGCTAGCATTTGTCCTGTCACCGCTTTAAAATATACATGTTCAAGATTTTAATTTTCATGGGAATCCAAACTTTTAGGTGCCTAAAGAGTGAGCAGTTTATTTACCAATGCATTTAGGCTAAACGTGCATTCACACCAATAATACAAATATGTTCAATGTCATCTCTTCCTTTAATACAATATATTTCGGAATATTTCACAAACTAAATAACAATTCTTAATCAAGTTAATAGATTAATTTTTTTAAAAATCTCTTGTTAACAAGATTGTTTGTTTATTTCATCTTTGCTGTGTGAATATCGGATGTAAATACCCCATACCTGTATCACAAAATTCCCCTTGCTTTCCAGCGATGCAGTTGAGACAAGAACCATTAACGTTGTTACATAACTTATCTGTGCAGTTGGTGCTACATTTACTTGCACAGTGCACTCCATAATATGTTGCATTACAGTCTGTTGGATATTGAAATCTTTTTTTTATGTTACCTCACAAATGTTACATAGTATGAGTACATGCTACTGTCTTACATTGCTGCTGAACTGAGTTTTGATGCTGTAGAAATACTGGAAAGTCTGGGGTTGAAATTACGGCAAAGTCCTTGAGTCCATCCCACTCTGATGGGTACCTGACGCATGTTAGTGAATCAAGGCGACTGGTCATAGTTCTTACCAAACTACCCCAATGTGTGCCGATGTAATTTAAACATATGAACCCGACCTCATCTGCTGTGTGTGTATGGGGCACGAACTAGAAATGGTGAGTTTGTCCTGTGGCTGACATATATTTTTATACATTTTAAACTAAATTTCAAATGTTTTTATTTTTTAAATTTACATGTATTTAAAGTCAAAAGTAAAATAATAAAACATTTAGTTATACTATTCAATTTTGACCAAACATAAAAATGCACATGCCATTGCGAATTTCTAGAACGCGATGTTACTTCAACATGTATCTATATTACTTACATAATATACTAATAAACTAATTTAATAGTCACAAAAACGAAAACACTTAAAACATTCTACTTATAGGTTTATACCACTTACTTTCTTCACAAAATGTGCCCTGTCTGCCATCAACACAACTTTTACAAGCACCATTCGCATTGTCACACAGACTGTCTAGACAGTTGGGACTACATTTATGTGAGCAGTTGGTTCCAAAATACGACTCGTTACATTCTGGTGGGATGTGAAGCAATACACACAATAAACACAATAAAAACACCTAAATTACACGATACTGTGTATCAGCCTTAAAATCGACCAATATAGTTGATGGTAAAGGAATACAATTACATGATTTCTTTAGCTTTTTATGAATTATAATAATTAGTAGGTAAAAGGTCTTATAGAGTGGGTATAGGTAAAATGTGACAAACCTCTATCACAAAATACACCTTGTTTTCCAGGTATGCATGTGTGACAAAAACCGATGACGTTGTCACAAAGTTGATTGAAACAGTTGGTGCTACATTTTTGTGTACAGTTTTGTCCGTAATATGTAACGTTACATTCTGTTGACAAAAATTGATTGATTTAACTTTTGAAAATAACGAATCAAATCATCTATTTTAGAACTAATAAAATCATGACTAGTTGACCCATACTCACGCTGATTACAAAAAAGTCCTTGAAGTCCAACAATACATTGTTTGCAGTAACCATGTGTACTGTTACATACGCCATTTGTGCAATTTTTTGAGCATTCGTTATCGCAGTTAGACCCATAATTGTGTTCACCGCAAGCTTAAATATAAACACAATAATAGAAATAAATATTGAGTGATCGCCTAAACCAGGGGTCGGCAACCTGCGGCTCGCGAGCCGCATGCGGCTATTTTAGTGTCAAGATGCGGCTCTTCAGCTCGATGCACAATAATTAATAATTATTTTATTTTATTTTTAAAACTCATAAAAGTATTAGTTTTCAACACTCGGAGATGAACGATATAATAATAAATATAAACAATAAAACACTCGCTATTCTATTAGAATATTTAGTTACTCCCTATTTCAATGTACTTTCTTGTTTTCTAAAGCTGAGTTATTTAAGTTTAAACAATGCCTGTGTTTGGATCATATTTATCGCGGCACTGGTTACCTACACTACCGCCTACCACCATGGCGTGCTATATGAAAGCTTTGAGTGTAAGCTAATCACTCACCCACTCACCATACTATCTTCGTTAATCACTCACCGCCTATTTGTCGAGGCCGGAATGTGGCGCTCTAGTGAACCTCATTACACTACTGCAGGGGCGCTGCGTACGACCCCTAGCTCGGTTATATATATATATATATATATATATATATATATATATATATATATATATATATATATATATATATATATATATATACACCAAATCCTAAATTGTTAAAAAGTGTTGGTGGCTCTTTAAAAACTGGAACATTTTATGAATTGTAACTTTTGGCTCTTTGGTCTCAAAAAGTTGCCGACCCCTGGCCTAAACGTTCTCAAATATTCTTAAATAACACTTTGTAGATGGCGACTCCAGTACAATCGGGATATGTACTTGTTTTTTTTAATCAACTTAATCCATTTTTAAATATTTGCGGCTAGATTTAATAATCTGATAATATAATACTTTTAAATACATGTAATCTAGACCACTCAAAACGAATGTACGAAGAATATGAAACTAATAGCAATAAAGGTATCGATGTTAGCTATCTAGCCCCTTGTCTCATAATACCAAAGTTTAAAATGGCTATGACGTTTGCAGTAAACAATGTCGACAAGGAGGTGACATACTTCGAACACACGTGTATCAGTAGCCATTAATAATTGAAACTTGTGATCATAAGCGATAGTAATGCACGAGCGAACACTTGTAATGGACAACTTCACACAGTGTAGAATGTTATCCTACTACTCGACCCACAATTTGGCCTTTCCTTATTGCTTGCATATCGGTCGTTTTATCAACTAAAAATACAATTAATTTGCATTTATTTGTATTTTGTTTTGATTGATTTGTTTAATATGAGATATCTATATTCAAGTGGACCGACAGCTTTAATTTATCAAACAATAATAACACTTAAATAACGATATGTGTTATTATTATAAAAACTACATGTGGACAAACCACATATGGACAAAACAAATGTGGTCAAAGTACCTAAAAAATTACCCGAGTATAACTGAGTCGATTTACATTATACGTTTTATCAATGTAGTGTAGCTTAGCAATGCTTCTTTTTAATTTTAGAACAGTACACATACGTTGTGAGCACCCCTCCCCTTGATATCCAGCAGCACAACCAGACTGACATCCACCTGTAGCTACAAAACATGTCTCAGTTGGGTCGTTACAGTTGCAGGTCTTGGCACATTCTAGGCCGTAATTTTTTACATTGCACCCGTTATCTGATGAAATAAAAGTTTATTAAAAAGTCTATCAATCTGTTTAAAATTTCTATTTACAAACATTGTCGCTATGAACTTTCAGCTTACACTTACCACCGTATATCTCTACTTCACAAAGTGTAAGAATATCTCCTACAGATATATTAACATAAGACACCGGACCATGCGAGCTTGTTGTTATCGTGTAGATTGGTACATTGGAGCTTGAACTTATATCCCTGTACTCAAAAAGTTTTGACCCAGCGTAGTTGTAACTGTTCAACATGAATCCTTTTAGTCGTTCACGGAATATGCCTGAAATGTAAATAAGCAATATGCAAGATTTTGAATAAAATGACTGCGAAGAGCTGTTTCTATAAATAGCACTTTGTAAGAATACTGATTTAAAAGACAGTATGTTTTTTTTTTATCAGCCCTTCTCTATTATAGAACATAATCTTGAATACCTATAATACGACCTTTTTATATAGGTTAAAATAGCTATTTGTATACATAATCAATGAACCACGTGAACTTTGTAATTTAGAGTGTCAATTTTCTGATGAATCAAAATAAACTAGTTCAATTTTCATTTTTAGCTATAGACTAATAATGACCTCTTATCTGGCGGGTCTTTTGAAATCGCATATGATGATTTGTTGTACAGAAAAGGGGGCTGATGTTAACGACATGAGTATGCCTACACGCGATCAATATTGTCATTTTTACAAGCTTTTATTTAACTCACTTCCTCTGTCGTCAGTCTGTCGACAGTCTGTCTAGACGGAAACGCAGGAGTGAAAATTCGGACAGTTCTACTTGACCGACACGATTCACAGTTGGCACGTGGGTCAAGACATGAAGACAATGCAATCTGAAACTAAATTTGACTTAATTGGATGCCTAATTGATTTTTTATGAATTAATTAAAATTTGGACCGAATTAGTAGGCATGTCTAGCCAACCACACCACACGCGTCATCAATAGCTGCGCCATCACGACCACGTAATGGCTGCGTTCAAAAACCATTGCGCGCCTACTGAACGTGATATTCGGTAGGCGCGCAATGGTTTTTAGTCATGTAACTCTATTGTAAATAAAACATGTAAAGTACTGAAAAAAAAATTCATAAAAAACGTTTTAATAACAAGCTTTTATGTAATGATGCACTAAAAAGTAGAAAATAAATTATAGACTACTATTTAAATAACTATAAAGAAAAGCGTGGGTGTCTTCCTTAACATTAGTAAAGGTATCCAATAGATACTAAAGTGACCCACGCTTTTCTTTATAGTTATTTAAATAGTAGTCTATAATTTATTTTCTACTTTTTAGTGCATCATTACATAAAAGCTTGTTATTAAAACGTTTTTTATGAATTTTTTTACAAGCTTTTATTTAACTCACTTCCTCGTCAGTCTGTCGTCAGTCGTCAGTCTAGACGGAAACGCAGGAGTGAAAATTCGGACAGTTCTACTTGACCGATACGATTCACAGTTGGCACGTGGGTCAAGACATGAAGACAATGCAATCTGAAACTAAATTTGACTTAATTGGATGCCTAATTAATTTTTTATTAATTAATTAAAATTTGGACCGAATTAGTAGGCATGTCTAGCCAACCACACCACACGCGTCATCACCTTCAATAGCTTCAATGGCTGCGTTCAAAAATCATTGCGCGCCTACTGAACGTGATGTTCAGTAGGCGCGCAATGGTTTTTAGTCATGTAACTCTATTGTAAATAAAACATGTAAAGTACTGAAAAAAAAATTCATAAAAAACGTTTTAATAACAAGCTTTTATGTAACAATGCACTAAAAAGTAGAAAATAAATTATAGACTACTATTTAAATAACTATAAAGATAAGCGTGGGTGTCTTCCTTAACATTAGTAAAGGTATCCAATAGATACTAAAGTGACCCACGCTTTTCTTGATAGTTATTTAAATAGTAGTCTATAATTTATTTTCTACTTTTTAGTGCATTGTTACATAAAAGCTTGTTATTAAAACGTTTTTTATGAATTTTTTTTATCTTCAACCTCAAGCACTACCACTCTAAAGCCAACAATTATGCATAACGAAGATGACACATCATCTTATATCTTCTAGTTCCACCACTATTATAAAAAATAACTTTAAAAAGTAACAACAAATAAGAATACATTGTATTGTACTCCAATTTCCACAGGATTAAAACGATAGGAGTTTTTAAACCAACTTTTTTAAACGTTCATATTTTATTATAATATATTGTTATTTTGTCTGAATATTTAGT